GCGTCCGCGGCCGCCTGGTGCTGCGGCTGCGAGTTGCCTGTCAGCGCGGGGCTGTTGTTAGCCATGTTGCAGCGGAAGGAAGGAGGGAGGGAGAAGGGAGGGGGGAGGGGGCCAAGCTCGATCTCGCTCTCCGGGACAACGGTCCGGGACCCTACTCCATGGAACGCCGTCAGGAGAGGGGGCCGCCCCGCTGTGCCCCTGCCAGGTGAGAGAGAGCCAGGGGTCGCTGACAGATGGACGCCGCGCAGAGAACAGACGCGGAAACGCGGGTCGCAAGAACTCCAGGCAGGAGGCAAGCCGGCGGCCAGGGAGCGCGATCTCTTCCGCCAACTGCCCCTGGGAACAAGATGGCCGGCCGGCGGATGTGACGTCACACGTCCCAGCGTTCCGAGCTGAGCCGGGAACCAATCAGAGACGCCCAGGTGGGCTGGAGGTTCCTCTTCCTAGGTCCGTGCGTTCTCTGTGCGCTGGAGTCGTTGCGGTGGCCGCTAGTTCTCTTCTCTGGGGAGATTTCTCTTAGAGATTTGGGGGCTGAGGGGAGGGGTTGTGGGCCTAGTCTGCGTGTTTTAATGTTCGCACTGGGGTCCTGGTTCCTCCTGTCGAGAGCCGAACAGGGAAAGGTTCGGGTGGCAGCTATGTGTTGGTGAATTCGCGACACTTAACTCCTGCGAAGTAAGCGAGGGGGTCTTCTGGGTTCTCTGTTTTAAGAGTCTCTGAAAGGGATGATAGTCAGGGACTCCATCTCTGCATGTGCGTGCGATACGAGGTTTTTCTGCTCTTCGCTGGACTCAAGCGTCTGGCGGGAGGTGTTAATGTTTGGGTCTTGATTTATCCAACTGCAAGACTGAAATAACATCCTTGTAGGCTGTTGCGATCATTAAAAGAGCTTCTCTGTACCTGTAGTTCCTAGTAGAATGTTTCAGTCATTTCGTAGGTCCCTTTTCATTCCTCCCTATTCAAGATGTTTAAATTCTACGGATGCATTCTGAGTGGTAAACGTTGGGTGAGGCACTGTGAATAGGGTTTGGTATGGGGAGCGAGAGGAGGTTGGGGGAAGTTAAAAATTAAAATCAGTTTCAGTTCTCAAAAGCTACTGATAACTTAGGAAAGGTTCATGGTGTTTAAGATAGGAGTGGGCACTGAAGTGTCTACAGATAGAATTAGGCTGAGCTAGCTTTATTAGCAAAACATATTCTGAGCGTACATAGAAGCAGAGAAAATCAGGCTTAAAAGGGTAAAATAGTCCCGTTGACAGGAACCAGGAGATATGCTTATGGGGGAGTAATGGCGGTGAAGTGCCTAGAATGCCAAGATGAAACCTTAGGAATTTGATGGCATGGAAATCCAAAGATTTCGCAATTACAACCATGACCCCGAAATCTGTTTTAAGAAACTAATATTGCTAATATTTTCTGGCTTCAGTCCTTTGTTTACAGAGGTTGCCAGAATCATTCCAAAAGTGCATCACTGCCATACTCAAAAACATTGGCTAGCTCACTCAGTGGCATCTTAATTACCAAAACCCAATGACTTTTATCATTCGTTTTTTTAAAAAAAGACATTTTATTTAACTTAATTTTATTTATTTACTTTAATCTGACCAGAGAGAGAGAGAGAGAAAGTGAGAAAACCAGTGGGTGGTGTGATGGTTAAGGGTGCTGGACTCCCACATGGGTGACGGTTCAAGTCTAGGACCTGGTGGCTGGCTTTCTCACTTTCCCTCCCTCTCACTCTGCCCGTCTCTGGTCAAATGAAAATACATAAATAAATAAAGTGAAATAAAATAATTCTTTTTTTTAAAAAAAGAAAACCCAAATACTCCACTTAAAAAGAAAAAGTGAGAAGCAGGTCACCAGGTCCAGCAATCAAACTGTAGTTGGCCATGTGGGAGTCCAGTGCCCTTAACCACTAACATGCCACCTGCTGCCCCAACTTTTATCATTCTTTATCCTGTGTGATTATTCTTGTAGACTTTGTTTTTAACAGTCATTTACTTTTTTCTGAAAACATTTGGGTTAGGAAGTTTGAAGGTGGCAGCTTTAATTTCAATGGCACATACACAGAGGAAGGAAAAGAGTAAGAAACCTTACGGGAAAATCTGTACTTTGATGAAGATGAACCAAGAAAGAAGATAAGCAGAGAAGTAGGAGGTAAACCAGAAGACAGTAGTATGACAGAATGCAAGAAAAAAATAATAAATTGAGGGATTAATGTTTAGAGCTGGACAGTACATAGTTGATGATCGTGTATAGTTCCTTTATTTTTCATAGGAAAAGAACTGAAGCCTTGAAAGAAGTGATTTTCACTTTGTACCTGGTAGAGCTTGTTTTTTTTTTAATACAGTGGTTTATACCTGCTTATTTTCTGAGGAAAACTGGTGATCTTAACCTCTCTAATGAATTATCAAGTTCAAAGTTCATTGAAGAAGTGTTTTGAATTCAATTCTTTTATCTCTAGGCCCCTCAAAGAGTTGCTCAGAGAGGTCGAAGTTTGATGCCTAAGTCACAGTGGCATCAAACTAAGGGAGCTAAGTATTATGATAAAGTGCTTATCATAGTCTATGAACCCCTGCAATAAACTTCAGATATTATGGGACCAGCAGATGGCAGAAGTGGTTATATTGCTGGACTCCCACAGAGTTGACGACAGTTTGAGTCCCGAACCTGGGGACTTGAAACTAAGGCTGGGCTTGTGCCAAAATCCCAAGAGGAGAATGGAGGAGAAAGGATTGTAGCCTGGCCATCTCCCTTGGGGGATGGTTTATTGAATTTTAAATAAATGGAATCATACACGGTATTGTTTTTTGCCCACCTTCTTTGACTAGGTATGATTTTGAGATTCATCCTGATTGCATGTATCATAAAGTGTCTTTGGGCCAGCAGGTGGTGTGGTGGTTAAGGCGCTGAACTCCCACATGGCCGGCTACAGTTTAAGTCCCAGACCTGGCAGCTGCTTTGTCACTTTCCCTCTGCTGAATTAAAATAATAATATATAAATTCTTTTAAAAAAAGATGTATCTTTTATTTTTATTACAGAGTATTATTCCATTGTATGAATTCATTTTATTTAACCAAACATCAATAGGCATGTGGATTACTTTTTAAAGGATTATTTATTCAGTTTTATTTATTCATTCATTTATTTTAATTTGACCAGGGAGAGAGAGAGAAAACAAGCCAACAGGTCCAGGACTTAAACCGTGGTTGACCATGTGGGAGAGTCCAGCGCCTTAACCACCATGCCACCTGCTGGTCCCTGGACATATGGATTATTTCTGATTTGGGGCTGCCATGAACATTTGTATCCTTGGGCTATATATGAATATTTTACCTTGATTAAACCCCTAAAAGTAGAGCATCTAGGCTTCTAGGTCATATAGTAGGTGTGTTTTTAATTTTTTCTTTTTTTTTCTTAGGTTTTGCCATAGGGTCTGTGCTCTTATTAAAGAGAAGCAGGGAAGGTGAGCTATCATGCCCCAGCGGGGCAGGCCATACCACAGTCCCTTCTCCATTCTCTTTTTTGGGACTTTGGGCATGCACACACATGTGCCTGGTGTGATTTTCAAGCTGCTTGGGCAGGACTCAACTGCAGTCAGCTATGGGGGAGTCTAGTGCCTTAACAATCATGCCACCTGCTAGCCTCCTGTGTTTAACTTTTTATGAAATAGCCAAACTTTCCTAGGGTGGTTGTACCATTTCACATTCCCACTAGCAGCATTTGAGAGTTCCAAATGTTCCACATCCTCACCAACACTTCCAATGAGTTTTCTGGTTTTTGTTTTACAATCTAATTTATTCTAATGGTTATGAGGTATCTCATGTTTTTTATTTACATTTTCCCTGCCACTAATGATGTTGAAGAACTTTTCAGGTGATTGTATCTCCTATTGTGAAGTAACTTCAAATCTCTTTCCCATTTCCTTTGTTTGTTAAATTGGAAGGGCTCTTTGCACGACCTGTATGTAAGTCCCCGGTCTAATACATGTGTTGCGTACACAAAGTATGAGGCTTGCTTTTTATTTTTATTTATTTACTTCAGGTTTTTGCCATAGGGTGCATGCACTTGCTGGAGGGGGAAAGTGAGAAATCATCCTCTAAGGGGGATGGCTATGCTACAATCCCCTCCCCTCCCTTCTCTCCTCTTAGGATTCTGGGCATGCATGGACATGGACCTGACATGACTTTCAAGCTGCTGGATCCAGGACATAAAGCATGGTCGGCCATGTGGGAATCCAGCGCTTTAACCACCATACCACCTGCTAACCCCAACATCTTAAATTTTTTTTTTTTGGCTATAGAGCATGTGTGCTCCCTGGAGAGACAGATAAACAGAAAGTGAGCAGTCATTCCTCAGGGAGATAGCCATACTGCAGTCCCTTCTCCATCCTCTTCTTGGAATTTTGGGCACACATGCACACATGCCCCATATGATTTTTTTTTTTTTTTGAGAGATCTTCACTGTAGGGCGTGTGCGCTTGCCAGACAGACAGAGAGAGACATAGAGACAGAAAGCGAGAAATCACCCCCCAGGGGGGATGGTCACGCCGCAATCCCTTCTCCTCTCAGGATCTTGGGCACGCACTGACACGCGCCCGGCGTGAGTTGTAAGCCACCGGGTCCGGGACACGAACCGCGGTCGACTACGTGGGAGTCCAGCGACATAGCCATTACGCTAACTGCTGTTTCCCCCCCCATATGAATTTTAAGTCATTGGAACCAGGACTCAAACTGCGGTCAACTATGTGGGGGTCCAGTAACCGTTACACCCTCTGCTGGTCCCCCTTTTAATCTTTTTAATAGTACCTTTTGAAGAGCAGTGTCTTGTTTTAAACTTTACCAATTTTTTTGTTTTGTTCTTTTTTTTAAAATATTGCCAGAGGGCATGTGTGTTTGCCAGAGACTAAGGGACAAGGAGAGAGAAAAGGCTCTCCCCTATGGGCTTTGCTCACATCTCTATTTCTTTGTCCCACTGAGATTAAGAATACATGCGTGGTATGTTTTTTCTTTAGCAACTGATAGCTTATTAAAATAGTTTACTTAAGCATCTGCAATGGTGATTCCAACCTCAGCTCTTGGCTGAATACTGGTGGCGCAGTCTGTTTAACAATCTTGGAAGAACTGTGAAGATCTGTGAGTCCATTGTGTATTCTCATCAGAAAACGATCTTATGTCAGAACTTTCACCACAAGGTGTTTTTCTTGTGATAATTCTCAGGGTCTTGGTAGGCATCCAAACTGGTTTTTTCACTTTGAGATTCTTTTCCTTTGCACCTGTGATCTAGTCAGCACATACTGTAGGCAAATAAAAACGTTTCAGTTCATGCAAAATAATTAAAACTCAATTTCTCTTTCTGGTTCTTGATAGCATATAAAATTGTCACCACAGGGGCTGGCAGGT